ACAGATGAATGGATGAAAGAAGATATAGTACATACAATGGAATATTATTCAGCCATGAGAGAGAAGAAAATTCCACCATTTGCAACAACATGAATGAAATTTAAGGGCATTATGCTGAGTAAAATAAGCCAGACAGAGAAAGACAGATAATGTGTGGTATCACTTACATGTGAAATCTTTTTAAAAGAATTTTTTTAAAAATGTAAAAAAAAAGAACAGAAAAGTGGTTGCCAAGGGAAGGGGAGTGGATAAAATAGGGAAAGGCTTAGTAAAAGGGTACAAACTTTGAGCTATGAGATTAATAAGGTCTGAGGATGTAAAGTAAAATATGGTGACTATAGCTGATAACTCTGTATTTATAATTGAAATTGGCTAAGAGAGTGGAACTTAGATGTTCTCACCACAAAAAAAGAAAATCTTGGATTCCAAGATGGCGGTGGATTGAGTGGAAGCTACACTGACATTCTCTCAGGACCAAACTGGAAGTACAACTAAAATATAGAAAAACCATCCTGAATAATCAACTGAAGACTAGCTGGAGCTAGTCTCATAACCAAGGACGTAAAGCAGAGACCGCATAGAGACTGGACTTGGGAAAGCAGACCTTGGTGCACATCTTGGTCCTTTCCTAATGCACCCAGCCCCAGCAAAGGGAACCACAAGCTGTGAAGTGCGGGAAGCTTCAAACAGGGCACTCAAGGTCAGTCACAAACAGTGTATGACATTGTCCTGTGCCAGAGACCATCCAAAAGACTGGGAATCCTAGTTGATCTACCTAATACACAGAAACAAATCCAAACAGGCAGCCAAAATGGGGAGACAAAAATACAAGCCCCAAGTGAAAGAACAAAAGAGTTTTCTAGAAGAAGAGCTAAATGAAATGTAGATGAACAATCTATTAGATATAGAATTCAGAATACTGATCCTAAGGATGCTCAACAACATGAGAAAAGATATGGAAACCATGAAGGAAATTAAGAATGACATAGTAGAAATAAAAAAATACATTGGGAGGAATAAACATCAGATTGAGGAAGCTGAGGATCAGATCAGTGAATTAGAAGACAGGCTAGAAAAAAATCACTGAATTAGAGAACCAAAAAGAAAAACAATTTAAAAACAAGAGAACAGTTTAAGGGAGCTGTGGGACAACATGAAACGTAACAATATTCACATCATAGGAGTGCCAGAAGATATAGAAAGTAAGCAAAGGTTAGAGAACCTGTTTGAAGAAATAATGGCAGAAAACTTCCCTAACCTGATGAAGGAAAAAGTCACACAAGTTCAGGAGGCACAGAGAGTCCCAAGGAAGAAGAATCCAAAGAGGTTCACACCCAGACACATCATAATAAAAATGACAAAAATTTAAGACAAAGAGAGAATATTAAAGGCAGCAAGAGAAAAGCAATCTGTTACCTACAAAGTAGCTCCCATAAGGCTGTTAGCTAATTTCTCATCAGAAACTCTACAGGCCAGAAGAGAATGGCATGAAGTATTCAACGTAATGAACAGCAAGGATCTGAAACTAAGAATATCCTATCCAGTAAGACTATCACTCAAAATAGACGGTGAAATAAAGAGCTTCCCAGACAAAAAAAGGCTAAAGGAGTTTATCACCACCAAACCAGCATTGCAAGAAATGTTAAAGGGACTGTTGTAATAAGAAGTTGAAATAGTGAGAAAGAGAAACATATGCATAAAAAAATAAAATGGTAATAGACAAGTTCCTATCTATAATAACCTTAAGTATAAATGGATTATGTGCTCCAATCAAACATAGGATAGCTGAATGGGTAAGAAAACAAGACCCAAATAAATGATGTCTACAAGAGCCCCACCTCAGAACAAAAGACTCACACAGGCTGGAAAAAACAAACAAACTTCTGGAGGACTTTAAAGGAGAGATCCACAGCAATACAGCCATAGTAGGGGACTTTAACACCCCACTGATTTTACTGGATAGATCTTCCAGACAAAAAATCAACAAGGAAACAGTGACTCTAAATGACGCACTAGATCAGATGGATTCAACTGACATTTACAGAACATTTCACCCCAAAGCTGCAGAATATGCATTCTCAAGTGCACATGGGACATTCTCAAAGACAGACCACATGTTAGGACACACAACAAGTCTCTCCAAGTTCAAGAAGACTGAAATATCAAGCATTTTCTCAGACATTTACACCATGGAATACTATGCAGCTGTAAAAAAGAAGGATCCCTTACCCTTTGAAACAGCATGATGAGCCATGAGAGTATTATGCTAAGTGAAATAAGCCAGTCAGAGAATGACAAGTATCATATAATCTTACTCATATGTGGAATCTAATGAACAAAATAAACCAATGAACAAAATAGAGACACAGAAGCATGGAACAGACTGATGAATCTCAGAGGGAAGGCAGGGGTAGGTGGGGAGAGATTAACCAAAGAATCTATATGCATATATGCATAACCGGTGGACACAGACAATAGTGTGGTGATGGCCTGGAGGGGGAAGGTGCAGGGTGGAGGGGATCAATAGGGGGGAAAAGGGGGACATTTGTAATACTTTCAACAATAAATACAAATTAAAACTAAACAAAACAAAAACCAAACAAAAACAAATAAAAAGATAGAACCTTATCCAGACTTTCACTAGGCCTTTCACCTTGTAAGTTGTCTTGGAATCAGGACAAGAAAATGCCTCCTCCTTCCACTTTCTCTTCTGCCTTCCTCTTCTCCCCCCTCCCCCTCCTCCCCCTCCCTTTTCTATGTCAGCCTTATTGAGGTATAATTGACAGAAAATTAATAAGTTTCAACCACTTTTTTTTCATGATGTCAAATTGGACTCAGCCTCTTCCCTCAAAATGCTCTGGCTCCAAGTAAATTGAGAAAGAATGGAGATATATACCAGCCACACTACTGTCTGCCTGCTGTGTTCCATACAGTCCAGTGTGCAGGCTGTTGAGCAAAACTTAATGAAAACATAGTCACACCTCAGTCCTGTTCACATACCTCTCTATCAGGGGGTGTAGAGTTAGCAGAGAGAACCCCTGTCTGAAAATACGAAGACCAAGTTTCTTGCTTTGAGTCTATCACTAAATTGCTGTGTGAGCTCAAGTGAATCACTTAATGTCAATGGCAATAACTTTTTCTCAGTTGTAAAAATGATGGAACTTGGTTTAAGATGTTCTCTTATCCCTTCAGATTATTATTCCTTCTCTTATCCCTTGAGATTATTTTTATTTGCCCATATCTATCTATGTATTTACAGAAACAAGAATGATGCGATTTTTCTTTGTTTTTACCTGCTCACTCTGTTCCTCGAGTGAGCAGGAGGAGTGAGTGCAAGAGGTTGCTTGTCAGGAGATGAGAAAAACCAGGAGAGAATGGTAATACAATGAGTTTGGGTTTTAAATGCCAAACTGGGGCAGCCCAAAACTCCTGGAGTGATTTGGAGTACCAGTTGTATCAGCTGGTAGGTTAATTGAGGGGGTGGGACTAGATCTCAAAGCCTGGCCTATTGTTATATATAACATAAGGTATTAGCGGACTCTTTCCCCCTCCTCTTCAAGTAACTATTGTGGATTTCCTAGAACAGTTCTCAAAGGAGTACACCTTATATTATGACCAGGACACATACATACATACATACCCAAATCAATACTTACCCTCACACCATACAATGTTATTTTCTATTCTATTGGTTTCTTTGCTTTTGTTTTTAAGTCTTGGCTTCCATCAGCATTTTTAAAGCTTTGTCTTAGGGTGGAGGGCGTGTGGCTAGCAGCTGTCTTCTTGGATCTGGGTTGTGGATTTGAGAACAGATGTTTGCTGTTCGCTCTATAATTTCCTAGGCAGTGTGCCAGTGGGAGTTGTCCTGCTGTTGGTCTTTGAATTGATGGCCCATCTGTCCTAGATCTTGACAGGTGTGGGCGGAGAAGTGGGAATGCAGGGAGAAAGCTCATTAAGCATGACCTTGTTCTGGGATTCAGAATGTGGAACTGAGTCACCCTGTTGGAGAGGTTATTCAAGGAAATTTGTATCTATGATTCAAGAGTTTCTAAAAAATAATAATAATAATAAACAATTTTAGAAATATAGGTATTTCCTGCAATACACAGTAATCTGTTGTTGAAAAGTCAGTTGTTCCACATGAAAATGCTAATCTGCAGCCTACGACTCATTTTATTTTAGATAGGAAAATTTATACTATGTCAACCCCAAGCCCTCAACTAATTTCTTAAACAGGTAAATAAAGAGTAGTAATACACTTATATTTATATATAATTTTTTAAAAGTCCAAAGTGTCTCATTGGGTGTAAAATGTTTAAAACATTGTTTCTCTATCACCAAATAATTAATAGGATCAGTAGCAAACAACAGCTTCTCTGCAGTCGAAGGCCACTGGCTAACGTGGCTTTACTGTTCTGCTTAGCCTGACTAAACCGAGACAGGTCATGCTCAAGTCCTGTGGGCCCTTGCTCCAATTGACTGGCATCCTTACAAGAAGAAGAGGCCCAGAGTGCCTCCGAAGCTTCGTTTTGCCTTAGACTTCTATAGACAGCGGTGAATAGGTCATAGGCGGGGTGATTTATATAGCTGGGTGGTTTTGTAATTGAAGTCTCAGTCAGGTAGCTGAACAGGAAGTGTTTTTCTCTGTGGTTAGCTAGTTCAGGGGAACAAAGAGTTCTAACCTTCGGTAATCAATTATAACAAAGGATGGGAAGCTGGAGGATCCGTGTCTGTCTTGTTGATTTGTCACAAGTAAACAGAGGTGTCAGCCCTGAGAATTATGGGTGTCATGAGAGAACGGACAGTGAGTTTTANCAGCAGATTTGTCACAAGTAAACAGAGGTGTCAGCCCTGAGAATTATGGGTGTCATGAGAGAACGGACAGTGAGTTTTACCCAAGTCTTACAGGGAAGGATGTTTTCTTTGAGTAACTCATTTCTTAGAACGCAAAGAATGGGGGGATTTCTGAAAACAAAAGCTTGGGGGCGGTGTTCTTTATCATGGCTGCTTTCCAGAAGCGCGTGGCTCAGGGAAAGGGCCACAGTGGCCGTGGGCAAGAGGAAGAAGGGTCTGCCTGCAGTGGGGTGCACGTCGTCCTCCCCGCCTCTCCCTCGCTGCAGCTGCTCTTCTTAGACCCGGTTTATTCGTCCCTGAAGAACGGGCCCATGTCGTGGGGCACGGCTGCCACCACGTGGCGGGTCCGTATAGTGCCCGCCGAACCTCGGGCTGGAAAGGAAGCGACGACGTTTTTCAGGCTCCCCTGGGCTGTGGGCGCCCCAGGCACGTGCCAGAAACACCACTGCGATGCAGGAAGAAAGCACCAGGATTTCTACTTCATTTTCTTCTCATTGAGAATGCGAGCACGAATTTAAACTTTACTGATAGTTAGCACACTATCAGCTTGCGCTCTGTTCTTTCCTGGGAACCTGTCACAAGTCACCCTCAGAGAAGCTTCCCGCGGTGACCAGGCTCCTGTCTGGACCCCTTCAGAGTGCAGGAGCAGACTGTAGACTGTGGGCGGGTGGTTAAGTGCAGGTAATATTACCTATTGCAACTAAACCTGCCTTTGCGCAATGGCCGGGTGGCGTTGGAAGACTCCCTCAGAAGCCGCTGGCTTAGAAAAGGGCTCCAATAGGTAATAGGGCCCGAGCCAGCAAACGGAGCCTTGGCATCACTGACAAGTAGTCTCACGTGGTGGAAGTTCTGTGTCAGCTGCTTGACGAGAAAAGAATAATGTAACTTATTTGACAAGAAGTTGGTCAAAACATTCAAAATTGTCAACACGGTTTGAAATATGGATTTACTTTAACTGCTGTTAATATGAGCCTCACCCCAATTGTTGTGTAGGAGAGGTTTCATGAGAAATAATCCGTTCTAGTTATTGCAGCCACTTGCCCACTAAGATCTGAAATAAATTGAACTTAGATCTACTTCTTTACATCACTATTTCATAGTTTTAACCCAGCCTTTTCAAAATCTGTGAAATAAAGCACATACAATCACTGGTCCTCCCCCATTATAGTGGGGAAACCCCGTGACCAGAGTCTATGTTTGGGCACGTACGAGATATGTTAAAAACTTTTTTTCAAAGTGGTAAACTCGTGACTCTCTGGCGAATATAAGATGAACTCATGTCAAAGACTTTACTTAACTCATTGATTAATGAAGGAACCAGTAAAGATGCTATGACCAATTCAGTGCTCTAAGAAGCAAGGTTCTCAGCCCTGGCTGGGCAGCTCAGTTGGTTAGTGTCATTCCAATATGCCAGGGTTGTGGGTTTGATCTCTGGTCAGGGCACATATAAGAAACAACCAATGAATGCATAAATAAATGGAACAACAAATCTCCCTCTCTCTCTCAAATCAATAAATAAAATTTTTAAAAAACAAAATAAAAAAGGAACATCTTGGGAAAAAAGAAGCAAGGTTATTTATAGCATGATTTATTGGATGTAATGCTGACTAATGCCCAGTTGGCCACAAATCTTTGGATGGATGTTATTTGCATCTCTTCCATATTCTGTCCACCAAGTTATCTGCATCTCTTCCAGTGAAAAACCTCCAAATTAACAAGTAACTCTGCTAATTTGGGGACTTTTAATCGATAGTAAATAATGGGATGAACTTAGCATTACTATGACCCTTTGGGCAAATCCAGCCCATGTATTTTGCAAAACAGTGTTCTATTGGAACTCTGCCATGTCCTTCCTTTACTATTGCTCGTGACTGCTTTTGTTCTGATGTGGCAGACCTGAGTCCCCAGACAGAGTCCTAAAGCCCTACAAAGCTTAAAATATTTACCATCTGGATCTTTACAGATAAAGTTTATTGATTCCTACCCTAGCCAAACCTTGGGCGGGCTTTGCCCCCGCATTGAAAGGTGTGCAACTCACTGTTTTATTTTTTTTTCATTATTTGCAATTTTTGGATAACTTTTCTGACAGATACTTGAGAACTCTTAATATGTTGTTTATGTATTTCCATTATCTTCAGGTAGGACATTTGGTTCCAATTCCCTAAGATTTTTTGTTTTTGTTTGTTTTTTAATTGATTTCAGAGGGAAGGAGGGAGAGAGAGAGAAACATCAATGCTGAGAGAGTCATTGATCGGCTGCCTCCTGCAAGCCCCCTACTGGGGATAAAGCCCGCAACCCGGGCATGTTCCCTGATCAGGAATCGAACCGCGATCTCCTGGACCATAGGCTGATGCTTAACCACTGAGCCATGCCGGCTGGTTAGATTCCCTGAGTTTTAATTCAGCTCATTTACTGAACACACACCATGTGCCAGAGACTGTGGTTAGCAAGTCAGATGTGTAACAGTAAAGGGGTTTTCTCTGAAGGGACCAAATTCTGCCACCCTAAAGCTGCTTTTAGGGATATTAATTTTTAAGCTGTTTATTAAGAAACAAAAGCCTCAGAAAGAATGTTTGACCCTCCCCGCTGGAGAAATGTGCTTCAGGAAGGAGATTTTAGGATGCTGCCTTGGCCTAATTTGAATTAAGTGTGGTAAACAAGAGGGCTTCAGGCAGGAGCCTGTTAGTAAGATACTCCGAGTCCCATTGTTTCTGGGCGGCCTAGAAAGGATTTGCCTGCCCTGTATGTTCCTCTCTTCCTCAACTGCCTGTAAATAGCACATTCTCACTTCTGAAATCTAATGCCCCATTCCACCCCCTTCCCCTTTCCCCTTTGTACAAAATGTCTTATATACCCAATGTTGCCTCACTGTCTGGAATTATCATGTCTATGAGAATTTCCCATACACATGTTTTAAACTTTGATTTTCTTCTGTTACTCTGACTCTGTTCATTTGGTTATTGGCCCAGCCTAGAAGAATTTAGAAGATGGGAGAAAATGTTTTAATATTTTTTAGCCCCCACTTCTCTAAGAGAGGGACTTGGAGTCCAGGCTGAGAAAGATGTCCCAGATATGTGAAGACTGGGGACAGGGAGACAAAGGGAAATGAAACCCAGTCAATGGTTAGTTACTAGAAGGAGAATTTGAATTGACTTGGAATCTTTTTAGTTTGAGGAAAACCACTTCCATGGGCCTTTTGATTATGAAAAAGTAAAACCAAAATCCTGTTTTGGAATAAACATGTGTTAGGCAATGGCCAGGTAGACTGTGTTGCTCAGTATTGTAAATGTTGTTTTCTCATTTATCTCCTTTCAATAAAAATATGTGTAACACCCTCCTTATAATACACCTACTAATGTACATTATTTAAAAAAAATCAATGTAGTGCTCAAATCAAAACATACAGGAGAGGGGAAAAATTAATTTGTTATAAAAATAATGTATAGTTAATATGTAAATGTTTGGTATGGTCAGATTAGAAGGTATAATGAGTAGTGAGCTGCTTGGGCCTCTTTGTAGACTAATGAGAATGTGATAGGCACCAATGGATACAGAAACAGTTAAGATATATTGTCACCAGATGGGGACTGGGCCCAGAGTGCGTCTGCCTTGGGCCGGCAGGTAGTGTGTGGGTTCTGGACTTTGTGCAGGAAAGATTTCACAACGTGAGTCCAGGTGACTTTAAGAGTGTGTTTATTAAAGCTGGGGACAGTGAAAGGAAGGAAGGAGTTGGGGTAGAAGTAACAGGAGAGAGCCTAAGCAGTGCTGTGCTTTGGCTCCCTGGAAACATTGTAACTTTAGGTATCACAAAGCGACTTTCAAAATTTTCCAGATTGTCCTCTAGGGGGCAGTATAATTCCTGTGAAGAATCACGGAACCAAAAAAGATCTTCCACAGGCTAACCCTGCCCTTGCTTGTGGGGTTAGGGTAGGGCAGCATTGTTTTTTTGCCTGAGAAGCTGACTTGGGGTGGGAGTGAGTAGTGGGGGACAAAGGAATATTTCTTCCTCTTGCTAGCCCCTGGGGAAGTCTGGAGAGCTGGATTTTTACTTAAGGAATGACTGAGGTAACATTTGACATCTTTCTCATGCATTTTTACTTTTCCTTCATTAATTTGCCTGGCGTAGAGAGCTACAGTAAAAATCCCCTCCCTATAAAAATAGTAGAATAAATACAGGGATATCTAACTATGTGCGTGTCTATAAATAGTCCCCTTATCTACAGTTTTGCTTTTTGAGGTTTCAGTTATCTGAGGTCAACCACAGTCTGAAAATATTAAATGAAAAATGCCAGAAATAGACAATTCATAAGTTTTAAATTGCATTCCATTCTGCGTAGCATGATAAAAAAAAATCTCGTGATGTCCCACTCCATCCCACCTGGAACGTGAATCATCCCTGTGCTCCCCACCCATTAGTCAATAGCCATCTTGGTTATCTGATTGCCTCTAAGTATTTCAGTGCCTGGGTTCGAGTACCCATGTTTTACTGAATGGTGGCCAGAACAAGAGCAGTGCTGCTGCAATTTTGATATGCCAAAGAGAAGACTTCAAGTGCTTGTTACAAACCCCCAGAAGGTCAACAGTAGCCTAAGGCGATTTTACAACGTCTACTGTCATTCACCTGCTTCATCTCATTACGGGGCGTTTTGTCATCTCCTGTCATTACAAGAAGGGTGAGAACAGTACAGTAAGATATTCTGAGAGAGAGAGAGACCATATTCACATAACTTTGATTACAGGATATTATTATAATCTAGTTTATTATTAATTATTGTTATTAATATATTACTTTGCCTAATTTATAAAGTAAACTTTATCATAGGTATGCATGTGTAGGAGAAAACATAGTGCATAGGGTTTGGTCTATCTGCAGTTTCAGGCATCCACTGGGGGCCTTGGAACATAGTGGGGAAGGTACTGTATTGTATGTACACACACACACACACACACACACATCCACCATGTCATTGTTTGTATTATAGAAAAAGTAGGGGTGAGCTAAATGTCCATGAACAGGAGAATAGACTTTTAAAAAAGAAAAACCAAACAAACCTATGGCACATCCATGAAACAGAATATCATTGTAGCCTTTAAAGCAAAAAGAGGGAGATCAGTTCACCAACCTTGGAGAATGCCCTCAACGGCAACAAAACTGCACATTTGACATGCATAGAAATCAGATAGGAGGGATATAAACTAAAATATTATTCGTGTTTATTCTAGAGTCTGAAAATTGCAAGGAGTATTAGGAGTTTTACAGTAGAAGGACCCCCTAAGTCATGACTGCAAGCCACAGAAACCATGTGTGGCAGCCAGATTTCCACCAGATACCTGTTCTCATTTG